TGACCGGTAACTTTGTAGAGCTTGTTATGAAGAACAAAGTTACCAGTCGGATTTTTGATATCTCATCTGTGTAAGAAATTGAAAGACTTTAAAAATGCTTTGTTTTTATCACGTGATTGTCGGGTATAGATGACTTGCACCATAGTTCTGTAATTTTTTGATTCCATGATCGATTCGAATTACTACTTATACGTTGTTTACTATAAAACTTTCAAAAGTGGCTAAAAATTCATCTCAATGACAACGTTAAATAACGCTGATTATATGATAACGGCCTTACGACATACTAATGAGAAAGTAAATAAATATATATATGCTTTAGAAGATTACTATTACAATATTAGTAGTAATACTTGATTCCCGAATGCCTTTTGCATTTATATTGTATTTCACTTAATCGGTCATTATAAATTTGACGTGAACAACATCAGCTTTAAGATTAATTGGGTCATTTATTTATGTATAATATTGAATATAAATATTGTAAAAGAAAAGCTCTAGCCTACAAGCTATTTGTTACTGTTTGTACTCCTGTAACAACTGAAGTAATCAACAACGCCAATGTCGCAATATAGCCAAAAACTCCCCTCATTCTGTTTTTAGGGTTACCGGTGTAGTATCCGTGAGCATACACAATGCGACTTATGGTCCACAAAAAGCCTGAAGCAGCGGCAACTTTCGGAAATCCAATACCAGCTACGAAAAGTCTGTTTTGAGAGAAAATAATAAGTAACCAAAATTTAGTAATAATACCGGAAAACGAGACTCGAGTGAATGCAGTGGCTGGTTACAAGAATTATAATATCTGGGTCATAAACTTACATGAGAAGAAATCCGGGATAATTTTCTAGAGTATTCTGTATAAATAAAAAACAAGCTCGGTAAATAATAAAATTTCAAAACTTTCGAATGATGACCACATACACTATTTACCTGATGTGCTCGTTGATAACAGTTGAATATCATTTTGTCTTTATCTTGTTCAGCTTCAGTTCTATCTGCGTATACTAAAAGATCATTACGATAGTAAATTAACATTTCTTTGATATTTCAAAATACATTGACAAGAATATTATACTTACGAAATGGATAAGGAATTTTTGCCTTAGCACGTGCACCACCAACACGCACTGCGAGATAATGTGTCATCACCATGGAAGCTACACCGGCGAGAAGGACCTAGTATTGTGGGATTTGATGTAAAGAGTCAAAAATAGTACCATTTAAGAGGGTACGCGCTGTCATGAGTTATAAGAAATTGATGTCCATACATATCCATGGTCACTGGAAACGGTAATAATAGTCATCTGGTTTGATTTCTTGTGTAGTGTGTAAGAGTAAGAAAAACTGTTTATAAACTAGAGATAGATCAGAAGTCGATTGTAGAAAGATGGTGAAATGCTTGCCGTCCGTCTGTCCAATTTATAAGTTCAAAAATCAATACAAATTGTCCTACTGTCGGTGGTCCTAATATTTTCCGTCTTAGTATTTATTAGCTTGTATCAACTTCCGACACACAGGAGACGCGAAGCATTGATGGACTTGAAGGAGATGATTGGTACTCGGTAGATAATTTCCCCGCATACAACGTTTCCGACATCTAAATTTGGATAGTAATTTTTATACTTGTTGGTCGGAACCAACACAAAGAGTCCGGAATGGCTTCATCATCCGGCGGAAGTGTCACAAATGCGACATTACTAATATGCTTGCTTCCGGAAGCCCCAATTTAGATTTATTTATCCGAAATTTTGCCAACATAAGGTTAACAATGTCGTTCAATGATAATGGTTTGTCATTATTATTGTATTACCGGTAACGCCCACGATATTGTTGGCATACGTATCAATAAAACATAGGAGAATTCAACCTGTCTCACTCTTTTTCTTTGTTTGTCCAATTCTCTCTCGGCAGACATTCGGATGATTCAAGTATCCGAATGGAAGGATAAATGATGCCATGAATATGATTTCCGGAAGATTATATATATTGTACCTTTCAATAGTGTAAGACTTTATATATTGTACCTTTCTCACACACTCGTATCGAGCGTATTATTTATCCGTGTGTACGATTTTGCAATATAATGTCAACAGGATTAATGTTAAAAATAGAAACTCAAATACAAATACTTTGTTATTAGTTTAATTTAATTGCCATTGTGACTTTTATAGCCATGAACACGCGAAATTGTATTTATCATTTACAAGATATATGGAGTATTTTATTACAAATCAGTGATTTTACCAAAAATGGTTATCAGATTTGTTCTTACTCGACTTTCACAGAAAACCTCACATTCCACCTGCTTTTTTAGGAAACTTCTCAGGCACAAAACAATAAGAGATAGTAATGCCAAGAGTAACAGATTAAAGTGGATCCAACGGCACTTTAGATCAACTGGTGGATCGAAAGGTCGAAGATAACAGATGAAGCAAAGATGAAGCATAATGCATTGATAGAATAGTGATTACCGTTTGACTTGCTGCTAACCACCAAATATATCTACCGATTGGAGTGTTGATAATTGGAGTCTTGTAATAAGTGGGAGTTGGAGATATATATGGGCCATTCCAAGCACATACCACCCTCAACTCGATTTTACTACACCGTACCAAAGGTGCAATCGAAACCAAAATCTGGTCTACATGAATCGGCGACTAATCTCCCAATCTCCTCTTCGCTGGAAGTTCAGCAATCTCATATTATGCATAGGATTAGATGTGGAGCAATTAATGACGAGTAAAAGTACGAGGAAAGAAATGCGATTCATTATTTAGGAATACCGAATAATTAAGAGTATTGTAGATTGTGTGAATGCCATTAGCGTGACTGCGAACGGCTGAAACCAGGTGGTGAGAAAGTGAGAGCGATCCTGCCGATGCAAGAGCTACTATGCATTTCCCAGGTACTATTTCCTGCTCGTTAAAATTTACTCTCTCACTACTCCTACTCGATCTAATCTCTCCCAAAAATCCCCATCCCCATATCTTTTTACAGCTGTGGCAACGGCGGTCCCTCTGGTGTACTGGTTTGTAGCGAAAACTTTATAATCTACAAACACCACAATCTTCCTTCTCACCTCCATACCTCATTGTCCACTTGAAGATCCCAGTCGTGGTTTATTCATAGTTTCTGGCGTAATTCATAAGATAGAAGGGATCTTTTTCTTTCCTAACGCGAAGAGGGAGCATGAGAAGAGCAAAATCGGATCTACAAGCCTAATAGGCGCTGACGAGGAAACTAAACTTCCCGCCTCATCCAGAATCAGCATCACTGAGAGACCACTGATCAAGGATCCCTGATTTTCTCGACATTCATCCCCTAATTCAACAGCAACCATTGAAACGTTTTTTATGAGGAATACGCAACTGGGTGGTGGCTGTAAAGGGTGATGGTGTTCCATATCATAGTGCAAGACTTTTATTTACCGTGGTGAGTTTACTCCCTTTTCGTTTTCGCCAATTCTTACAAGCCCAAACTAGACAAAGACACATTATCAATCGTGCGGCCTGAAAAGCTGTCATTGTTCGAATTAACGTCTGCATTTCTCAGCAATTTATTTATTATCGATATTGATAGTCTTTACATTTGATTATTATTTGAATTCCGGTGCAATCGGTGTTGACTATTACTTTTTATATTTAACGGAATTGAATAAACTGCTACTAGATCAATCTACTTACAAAAGCTCAGCGATCAAATGAAATCGACGAGCTAACTAGAATCAATTACTCGGTTCTAATCATGTTTGACCTTTTTTATACTAACACACGCCATTATAACCTCAGTTACAATAAAGTTCTTCCAATATTTTAATAAACATTGGTAAAATATACTCAAGTCCTCGCGTTTATAGCGCTTCCCCCCCTCCTTACCGCTCCTTCCCCAAACTTGCCGGGTGAAATTTCTTTGGGTAAATCCTTGTAATAGTCCCTCATCACTCTGTCATCAAATCATTTGTATCTTCAATCTGCATCGACTCGTTCCCGCTTATATTAGCGTGAGTGTTCTTTGCTGACGTCTCCTCATTCTTGACAAGTTCATGGACGTTAGTGTTAGCAGTGGTAAGAGGTGTTGTATTTGTAGATGTGTTTCCCTCATCCTTTATTGATACCTTTGCCGTGTCGTTCTTCTCATTGTTACGACCAGAACTATCACTTATTTTTCTATTTTCATCTATTGCCATATTCTCATTAACATTAGCGTTATTGTTTGCGATATCCTTTCTTAACTCTTTCTTCTGATTTGCTCGCCTTCGTCCCGCCTCTGTACTCTTTTTCATTTTACCCAAAGACGATGTTCTTTGCACTGTAGATATCTTATCCGTCGATCTAGTGAATGTAAGATTATTGGTAATTCCGCTCAAAGGTAATGCGTCGGAATTATTTCTTACATTGTTTATATTAGCATTGCCTGTGGTAGCGTCAGGTACGGTATTGTTTTTTCTCATTGGTATAAATAAATCGCCCACCCGATCCGATAAATAATCTATTGAATTATCATCGTTACCATCTGACGGAATTAGACTGAGAAACTTGGCCAGGGCCCGTGCGCCCGTCGGCATTGCCTGTGGCGGCGGAAGCGGCGATGGAGGAGGTGATACCGTTGTGAGTGTTGTCTTCGCCCCTGCTGATATATTTGACGTGGTTTTTCCTTCTTGCTCGACTTCATCAACTATCATACTTTCTGAATCATCACAAGCTGGGGGAGTTAGTCCATGGTTACTAGGGTTGCTACTAGTATCAGCATTCTCGTTGTTATTGGTCTTGGTCCATTCAAATCTTACTTCACACACTGCATATCCGCCTTCCGTAGATAGTTTCTGAGCTTGTTCTTCGAATTTTTCCAGTTGAGCTAGGAGGTCCCGTTGAGATTTGAGATCTGCCAGTTTCAAAACGTACTTTTCCTCAGGTAAAGCTATGAATTGCCGTTGTATCATATATTTCTGTAGAGGAAAGAGAGAGAAAAGAAAATAGTGTGTGAATGACAACGATCATTATGTTCTGGAATCGAATCCTAGTTTTACGGTTAAAACAATCTACGTAGTCTAAAAGTAATATTAGCTTGTATATTTGCCCTCTGCGATTTCTTATAAATACCATTGTTAGCATTTCCCTGACCGCTTTCTTGCTATTCTTGGTTAGTAGGTAATACAGCGGTATCAATCGATTAATCTTTGCGTAGAGGGGGGTAATATCCTCCATGATGTCTGTATATTCTGCCTTCTCATCTTGTGACAATTTATCGTCGATAAACTTTATCTTGACTTGTTAAAAAAAAAAAGAGAGAGAGAGAATATTTGTTGGTAAGACACATATACGCCCAAATCATGTTTAATTCGGAGCTGTCAAGTCTCATTCGCAATTCTCGTCGGTTCGTTACACTCATCACTCCAAGCCCACAGCTCTCAAATAATCAATTTTACCTCCAGAGTTTCTAATTTCCTGATCTAAGGCTGCTACTGCCTGCTTTGCTTGGTGATGCTGGGCAGCGCTGAAAACTACAATGGAGGCAAACGGTGCAGGTAGAATAGTATAAGGAACCGATTCTGTAAGCACCGGTTGAGTGGAAGCTGGAGGGTATACAGTGATGCTCATGCGTGACATTTAGTTGCAAAGTGGAGAAAGTTTGTTGCGTTGTGAGATAGCCACAAAACTGGAAAAGCTTCCCCGCAAGTACCCGATCCAAGTCTTGGGAGTTTAATTTGTGATAAGGATAGTAATAGATAGATGCTATTGTATAGTGCTTATCAGAGAGTCATTTATCGATGTATCCGCAGTTATAGTGTTAAATACAACGTTACATCGATCATTTAATACTATTCGAGATCGATGGATAATCGTAACAATGATATCGGAGTTATATTGTGCATATTTTTTATCCAATATGTTCGATGCGCCATATTAATACCATCTAATCACCAATGATAAGTTAGTGTTATCAGTAGTGGTAGATTGTAATCAATCTGATAATCGTGAGATAATTCCATATCTGACTTAGTCCAATCAGAGTTTGATAAAAATGGATCGATAAACTCCCTTCTAAACGCCACAGGGAGATAAGCTTGCTCGTGGCTTCTCATTTACTTGTGTATTGGATCTATGCAATTGGCAGTATGTAGAGGGAGAATATTACTATAGTACCATACTAGG